ACAGACGCTCCGTCAATGGTCAGAGGAGCATGTTGGGTGTGCATTCTCCTGAAGTCCACAACAATCTCCTTCGTCTTCTCCACATTCAGAGAGAGATTGTTGTCAGCACACCACGTGGCCAGGCGTCTCACCTCACTTCTGTAGTCGGTCTCATCCCTGTTGCTAATGAGACCCACCACCGTTGTGTCGTCCGCAAACTTGATGAAGAGGTTGGAGCTGTGTGATGGAGTGCAGTCATGGGTCAGCAGAGTGAAGAGGAGGGGACTCAGCACACATCCCTGCGGGGCCCCCGTGTTTAAAATGATGGTGCTGGATGTATTACTGCCGACCCGTACTGCTTGAGGTCTTCCGGTGAGGAAATCCAACAGCCAGTTGCACAGTGAGGTGTTGAGCCCCAGCTGGACCAGTTTTTGAGTGAGCTGTTGGGGGATTATAGTGTTGAATGCTGAACTGAAGTCTATGAACAGCATTCGAACATATGAATCTTTTTTGTCCAGGTGTGTGAGTGCTGAGTGGAGTGCAGTGGAGATGGCATCATCGGTTGAGCGATTGGGCCGATACGCAAACTGGAAGGGGTCCAGGGAGGGGGGCAGGACAGTCTTGATGTGCTGCATGACTAGTCGTTCGAAGCACTTCATCAGGATGGGAGTAAGTGCAACAGGACGGTAGTCATTAAAGCAGGAGGGAGATGACTTTTTTGGAACCGGAATGATTGTGGTGGCTTTAAAACATGTGGGGACGACAGCCTGGATGAGTGATATGTTGAAGATGTCTGTGAAGACATCAGTGAGTTCCACTGCACAGTCTCTCAGTGCACGACCAGGAATGTTGTCAGGACCCGGAGCTTTACGTGCATTGATCCTGCTGAGGGATCTCCTCACGCTGTCCGGGGACAGAGTCATCACCTGGTCACCAGGAGGGGGTGGGGTCTTCTGTGCAGTGGTGCTGTTTCGGACTTCAAAGCGAGCAAAGAAAGTGTTCAGCTCGTTCAGCAGGGGGATAGTACTGTCACAAGTCTGTGGTGGGGGCTTGTAATCTGTGATGGTCTGAATGCCCCGCCACAGGCTCCGTGAGTCTCTGCTGTCTTTGAAGTGATGGGATATTTTCCTGGAGTACTGTCTCTTAGCCTCTCTGATGCCACGGGAAAGGTTGGCCCTAGCTGTCCTCAGGCTTGCCTCGTCTCCATCTCTGAAGGCAACATTCCGAGCTTTCAGCAGCCTGTAGACCTCTCCTGTCATCCATGGTTTTTGATTGGCCCGGACAGTTATGGTTTTCGTGACTGTTACATCCTCAATGCACTTGTTGATGTAGGCTGTAACAGTCTCTGCGTACTCCTGGAGGTCAGTGGTGTTGTTGTAGGTGGCAGCCTGCTTAAACATGTTCCAGTCTGTGGTGTTAAAGCAGTCCTGTAAAGCCTCTGAAGACCCTTCTGGCCACACTTGTATCTGCTTACGAACCGGTTTGGTGGCTTTAACGAGCGGTCTGTAAGCAGGCATTAGCATGACAGTGATGTGGTCTGAGGCGCCGAGGTGGGGGAGGGGAAAAGCTTTGTAAGCTCCTCTCTGGGTGGTGTAAACAAAGTCCAGTGTGTTATTTCCCCTTGTTGGAAAGTCTATGTGTTGTTGTATTTTTGGAAAAACGCACTTTAAGTCTGCATGATTGAAATCCCCAGCCAGGATGAGAAAAGCATCAGGATGGGCTGTCTGCTGCTCACTGATGTGCTGGTACAGTTCATTCAGTGCCTCGCTCCTGTTGTTGACATTGGAGGAGGGAGGGATATACACAGCGCACAGTAGTATGGCTGTATATTCCCTCGGTAGATAGAATGGCCGGCACTTAATAACCATAAACTCCAGCACTGGTGAGCAGTGTTTCCAGACCGCAACAGCATCGCGACACCAGGCGTCACTGATGTAAACACAAAGTCCTCCCCCGCGGGTCTTACCTCCCGCGACGATGACTCTGTCAGCACGGTAGCATGTTAGCTGGTCGAGCTGAATGGCGCGGTCCAGGACACTGTCGCTAAGCCATGTTTCCGTGAACACAAAAGCACAGCAGTCCTTTACATTCCTTTGAGATGAACGTAGCAGTCGGATGTCGTCCAGTTTATTTTCTAGCGAGCGTACGTTGGCCAGAACGATAGAGGGGATGGCGGGTTTGTGTGGGCTAGCCGCTAGCCTAGCTCGGATGCCACCGCGCTTACCCCTCTTCTGCTTCCTCTCACACCGCTTGAGGCGCATCCATTGTGGGCGAAGTGCAGGAGTGGGGGTCGGTGATTGAGTAGGCCTTCGGAGCAAACCCAGATCTTTCAGCTTCTCGATGTCCACAGAGTTTAACTTAAAAAGTTTGTTTCTGCCGATGTCGAGAAGAAGTGTTCGGGCATATCCTCGCTTGCACACAGATAGACGCGACAAAGACTTACAAAAACACTGCAACTTACAGGACGAAAAACACGAAAAAGTAGTTTGTTCGGGAGAGAGAGAAGCCGCTGCGTGTGCACGCGCCGCCATGTTGAAAAAATTTTACGTGTTTTGGATTTTGCAAGTGTTTTGGAATTTGTACGTGTTTTGGAATTTGCATGTGTTTTTTAGTTTGCAAGTGTTTTGGATTTTGCAAGTGTTTTGGAATTTGTACGTGTTTTGGAATTTGTACGTGTTTTGGAATTTGCAAGTGTTTTTTAGTTTGCAAGTGTTTTGGATTTTGCAAGTGTTTTGGAATTTGTACGTGTTTTGGAATTTGTACGTGTTTTGGAATTTGCATGTGTTTTTTAGTTTGCAAGTGTTTTGGATTTTGCAAGTGTTTTGGAGTCTGTACGTGTTTTGGAGTTTGCATGTGTTTTTTAGTTTGCAAGTGTTTTGGATTTTGCATGTGTTTTGGAGTTTGTACGTGTTTTGGAGTTTGCATGTGTTTTTTAGTTTGCAAGTGTTTTGGAGTTTGCATGGGTTTTGGAATTTGCAAGTGTTTTGGAGTTTGCAAGTGTTTTGGAGTTTGTACGTGCTTTGTCTCTAGGGGCCACCGTACTTTGCACTGTGGGGAAGCAGCAAAGAGTGACTGAGGCACAGCCAAGTAGCAAACTCTGGGGTTTAAGAAGCAGCAAGCGCAGAAAACTGCAGCTCCCAGTGCAGCTGCTTGAGGCTGCCTTGAAAAGCAGTCAATGCCCCATAGACTCCCATGTTAAAATGTCAAACTGCACAGGATTAAAAAGTATATTTACAGCTTAGCACAAAAAAGCCCAAAACATTTTGGCCTCTATGGATAGTTTCCTCCTCCATAAAACCAGTACAGGGGGCAGATTTTTATTATAACTCATCCATCTGAGGAATAAGGCTTAAAGTTATGGCATATGGCTGATAAGGCCAAACAGGAAGCTGTAGCTGACAGCTGCTTTTCAGATCTCACCTTTGCTAATTTCATATACTCATTTGGATGTTTTCACCGCCTTTGATGTATGAGCATTTTTAATGGATTTTACAAAAAAAATAGTGCAGTTTGCTGTGCTTTCTGGCTCAAATAAACTAAATTAATCAGCATAGCGAGGTTTTAAAATGATAGTCCAGTAACCAGTGGGTGTAGTCGCAGTGTTTACATCCATCTTTGAGGTACAGTCTATGGGTAAGGCACACGGTAGCATGTCTTTTAACATACAGGTGAGTTCACAGGAAGTTGCAACTCAGCCAAGGTCTCATTTAAATAAGTTACATTATAATCAACTCCCAGATTGGCAAAAATTACATGGAAAATGCAATTAAACAGAACTACATTGTCAGCAAAACTCAGGGATGCCCCCTGGAAGACATCATGTGTTATTCAATTTCCCTGCCACTGGCAACAAAGACAACAAACTTATTATTAATATGATGATTATATAAGGATCACATGCCTGTAGGTCTATATCAGCACTCCAATGTTCCACAAATACTCCCAAAAGTCCCTGTATTTCCTTGGAAGGCTGAGGTTGGAATTACATCCGCCTCTTCATTAAATATGGTAAGAATCAGTCAGCCAGTCCAGGTGCTGCACTCAAACTAATATTAAACACTTTTATGCAGACAGACAAACATCGAACACGACTCTCAGACACCCGAGGTGCAACACGACTACAAAGCCTTTTCAAAAACGTAGGAATTAGGAATTAAGTTAGACAACTTCAAATTAATTTTTAAAAGCCCAATAATAATAATAATAACAATAATAATTACTACAATAAAATCTGTATACCACACTGTGCTGGATTAAATGTGGAGGTGATGCTTGAGTGGTGCGCATTAAAACAGAATCAGCTGCACAACATATCAAATTGAGTTCATTTTGAATCAGTCACAACATAATATCTGCTCGGTTCAATAAGATCAACAGTAAACCTCATATGAGATGAGTCTCCTTCATTTTAACCGTACGCTCCTCCTGCACAGTTGGAAAAATGTCATTAGGTTCAAATATTGGGTCTTCAAACTGCTCCTCAGGTTCCCCGACTGACCAGGAGATTCAGGTTTTGATAAAAATTAAACTAAAAAAAAAAAAGATAGCTGAGGATGAATCTAGTCCCCAGGAAAATGTTGTAAAATGCATTTGTGGTTAATAGGATTTCCCAGTGGTATCATGACCTCCTTTAAACACACAACCACTATCATCAGACAAAGTTTATCAAGTGTGGCCTCTTAATTTTGTTTTTGCACAAACCTTCTGTACAACCTGGATGGTTGCAATTCAAATAAGAGCAAACCTGCAATTAAAAATTCGGGTTAATGATGTTGAGTAAAATTATTCATCTGGAATAAATTGCACGCCTAATTATCATGTCTTGTCTGTACAATGATACTGAAACATCACTGAAATAACACCATGTTTATAGCTGAAATAAAAAGAGACTGAGATATCACTGTGAGCCTTTTCAAACCTTTCCCATTTTTTCTCTAATAAGCTTCTCCTCGTGTTGTTACAGGCTGGAAATCAAACCTGTAAGCCTGTCAGTGTTGTGCTGTTCATCCAGAACACCATACCTTGTTGACCTCCAGGATTTCTCTCCTTTCCTCACTGGCAGAGCGGCTCTGTCCACCTGATCGGTCTTCATGTTTGGAGCCGTCATCTTCCACAAAGGGTATCAGTTGCTGGAAGGGACAGCAAACAAAAAAATGTGGTTGTATTACTTACTGTAAGCAAGACAAGCGTAAGAGGATCGCTCCCAAAATGCTGACTTATTCAGATAACTGGATTGTGTTTCCCTGCTTGGAGTCGCACAGTAAGATCCATATCGTAGTTTTTTCAATAAAATCTGTTTAAAGATTCACCTCCTGATGCAATTATTCTCTTTCCTACTTCTATGTTTTTCCCCAATCTAACGTCTAAGGTCCAAATAAATTAAAAGCATTGTGCTGCCTAGTCACATCTTTCCTATACGCCCACTGAGCGCAGTTATAGGCCACATTTACATGTGTATGGGAAATCTCAACTAAGCTATATTCAACATATCTCTATGCCTTCTCGCACGATTGTTCCCACAAAGTGGTGAAAATGGGGATTGTGTGCAAGTTCTCGAACACTCTCTTCAACGTGGAAAGACAGGGACAGGAAAAGAGTGAGAGGGAAAAGTGAGTGGGAGATTAATTCATTTTTAAACACTCTGTGTACTTGACCTTGTCTGCTTGACACTAGAGTGAGGCTGATGTGCAAGAGCCTTCAGGCGAGGCAGCGTTCCCGAGAGCCGACAGGGTCACTGCCTGCTGCTTTGCGTCACACTGCCCCCTAGTGGGCACCTCGGTGTGGGTAGGGGAGCAGGAGGCTTGCTGCAGTCACACATCAAGTAATCTATGAATGTCTTGAGAACACACTGTTCCTCATAACACACAGACAGCAAGGATATAAAAGACCTGCACTGACAATGTGTGATTGATGTTATGCTATCTTTGCAGAGCGACTGCACAAAATTGAATTTTGTCAACAACAAAATAATAGACTGTAAAGCACACGCAGTGAAAATGGAGTCAAACCTGAGTTTCATATTCTCAAAAGACAGCAACAGTTTTATATAGCATGACATTTTATGGGTTTTAATAAAGGCTGTGGACGACTCTGCTATGGTTTGTAATACTGGAAGCTAGAAGTTCCTGTTACAAAAAAACATCTAGAAAAACATTGTTTTCCTTTCCAAAACAATACTGCCATACCAGACAAGATCACAAACATAGATTAGGTAGGACAGTCTCCAAGAAACATTAGCTAATAAAAAAAATATCCCATATGGTGGAATAGCAAACCTTCCTCCAATAATGACTTGGCAAAGCAGTAAATTATGACTGACTACAGATTTTGGCCCGTGTTGTGCAGCTGGAGCAGAGGCCCTGCAGACAGTCGACGGCTGATTTAAGTAACCTGATTCATCTGGAAGCAATGACTGACTAGTGTATGAGTAGAGTTGGAGCCAGACAATATCAAGACAAGCACAAAGGAAGTTATAAAAAAATAAAATAAAATACAGACAGAGAGAGGAGACTAATAGAGTAGGATAGCACTGAAGAGGGCAAGAGTCGTGGGAAAAGAGCCAGAGAGAGGTGAGAACAGAAAATGGGCACGGGAAAAAGAAAGGCAGACAAAGAAGAAAATAAAGAATGACAAAAAGACATAAAAGTCTGGAAAAAGTTTCTTTACTCCTGTCAGTTTCCAGGCTTAGCTCTGCGCCAAACTGTAAACTCTGACTCTTGGAGGGAGAAAAGACAGCAAGGACATGTGCAGGATATTATACCAGACAAACTATGAGCTCGCCTTCAACTTTGAGCAGGAAAAGATGAAAGTTTTTTCATTAGATAATTTGAGGCCGAAGCCAACGACATATCACATTTTAAAGGTGGTGGGCTCAGTTTGGCAGCCCGCGGGGGGAAAATGAAATGTGCTGAGTAGGTTGGGAGAGATGGATGGAGAGTGTATTTTGTGTGTGTGTGTGTGTGTGTGTGTGTGTACATGTAGCTATGCAGCACGTGCACGTCAAAGTGTGAGTCATAACCCCTGCCTCTTCCACAGAAAGATGGATGTGGTTTCCTGGCTGACAGAGAAGAATGGCCTAATGAAGTTCTCCAGGTTGCCTCAGTGAGACAAAAAGAAAAGGGTAAAAAAAGACTGGAAAAAAAAAAACAGCAGGGTGAATGTGTAAGAGGAGAGGGAAATGAAATGGCATAGCTGTTCACTGCAGGAAATGACAAGAGGAGAGCAAGACTTGGGACCACAGGGAAAGAACAACATGGGAAAAGCAGAAAAAGACAGAGAGACAAAGCCAACAAGGACAAACAGACCGGCCCGAGAGAAAGAAGGAAATGAGCAGAGATCCAATATCTAGCAGATATCAGAGAAAAGAAGATGAAAGTGGTAGAAAATGTGGGGAGGAGGAAGAAAAATGCATCTAAAAAGGAAGAAAGCAGATTAAAGTCTGAGAAGGGGCAAGCAAAAAGCTGCAACGAACGACAAGTGGAAAGAAAAAGGGGCGAAAGCGCTGACGTGTGCAGTTGGTCCAGCTGTTCATTAAACGGGTCTGCTGCTAATTAGGCTGAGATGAGGTCACGCTGCCCGAGTCATTGATTCCACTTCCTGTTTCAGGCAGCCAATAGTGAGCGGCTGTCAGGCAGCCACCTGAATTCTCTAGGATGATAAATGGCATGCATGCTGGGGCCAAAATCAACAACCCCTCAGCCCCAGACAAACATGGTGAGAGGAGCTATTGGCTGGTCAGCACCGGACTGGGTCTCAGCCTCGGGGGGAAATGAATAAACATTTAAATAAGGTGGAATGAGCAGGGGGAAGGAAAAAAAATAGCCAGATGGTGTAATGACTCAATGAAGGAACGGCAAAAGGAAAATGTCAAAGAAAACCCGTCACCGGCTTTGATTTAAGGGCACAACTGCACACGAGAGTCACTTTGAACAGATCGTTCAAAATGCCTCTCGCTGACTGTACTCCTCAATGCAGAAAATGTACGTGGTGGCAGCCATCACAAATTTGTTCCAATTTAAGACTGGTCTCCTCCCACATCCTCCTTTATCCTCAGTAGGAGCCTGGTGAGAAAGATTAGCTCCGAGCCAATCTGTAGAAATTGGGAAGGGACTGCCGCAGTCATAAATCCAATCAAACAGTAGTGGATAGCCGTGCCGGAGCCCCGCATGGTGCCTCACAGAGTGCACCCCCAGCGAGCCAGTGCGTGTGGAATTGCACATGTGGCGAAAACATGCTATTGTGCCAAGTTACACTGCACCACTTGCATTTCTATGTTGTACATTTATGTGTGTGTCGGGGGGGGGATACAATTGTGCAATCATTCTGTGAAGGCAGGCACGGAAGGAGCGGGGCTAAGAGGCAAAGTGGTGTTGTTGCTCCTGAAGGTGGATGGTGACTGTAACCAGCAGTAAAGAGGCTCTGGAGACTCACCTGAAACGACCAATGAATCTGCTGCAGGCAGAGAAAAGACAGACCTAGAGGGAGTAGGTGAGATAAGAGTTCCCCAGGGTAAATATGTGTGTGTTTGTGTGAGCAGCTTTGTGAGAGGGTGTGTGTGTGCATGAGCAAGGGGATATGGAAGTTACAATGGCCTGCTTCCTTTAAACCAACAGCTTCCTAATTTAGCAGACAGCTTTTACGAAAAGCCGGACTATGTGAGGCGACGGCTGAAAGCACAAAAAAAAAAATCCTGACAAGCATATAAAGTATTTGTTGACGTTCACATCTAAAAAGATCAATCAGTCAACTTAAAATGTAGTATCAGCACTTCCCCGCTTACAGCCTCATCATGTAAAACCTAAATGCAGTTGCAGGTGTGCTTTATATAATAAAAGCATGACCTAATTTGAGGTAAGACAGCATCTTGAAAGTAATAACAAATGGACAAAATATGTAAAATACAAAGTATAATACAATGTGTTTTATCAGGTAACAACTATATTAAGCTGGGAGTAATGTGTATTTCATTTAATCTCCTTTCAGCATGTAATACCTAACCAAATCCAAAGCAGAATGTTTGTAGCATGATCCGGGCCTGCTTACCCACTAATTTTATTTGTTTGTTTCATTAATCTTTTGTGAAGAGGGGGAGAGTGTTGTTCATGAGTGAATGGAAGACGGATTGAGAGGTGGACCAGCAGATTGGTATGGTTTGAGCAGAAATATAGGCGTTGTACTGGACTGCCATGGTTAAGAGAGAGCTGAACTTTACAAGTCAACCTACAAATCCAACCTTTACCTATAATTATGAGTCCTGGGTAATGACCAAAAGAGTAAGGCCACGAATACAAGAGGCCAAAATGAGTTTCCTTTATAGGTTGGCCGGGCTCAGCCTTTAAGGTGGGGAGAGGAGTTATTTCTAAGGCTGAGCATGGCTGGGTGGACTCTGGACTCCGGACAGTATGTCAGCAACACACAAAATCCACAATCAACATGTCTCACTACTGCAAATACTTTATTTACTTTTGGTGAGGGCGGTGCCTGTATAGAGCCTGCAGGAAGCCGGACACATTACACTCGCTCACTCAGGGTGAATTAATCAGATCATAGCCTGATATCACATATCACACTGACTTTGTAATATGGAGCTAATGACTTAAAAACAATTTATTGTCCAACTGAGTCTGACATTTATGTCCTCACACACATCCATGCTGGCAATGCATTGGAAAGTGCATCAGTACATGTGTGTAATCAGACAGAGCTCTTCGGCTAACTTTACCTTACCTTTACCCGAGTGCACTGACATGCATCAACCCATGATTAAATCTCAGTGTTCCCAGGTGCACGCCAATCTTTTGTATACTTAAATCAACTTGCACCAATGTCATCACCTCTCCTCCACATCACAGCCAACAAATCCCAACTGCTTCTTTTGTCTGCGTTATGCAACCAGTGCGTGCCGCCACTGTAGACGTGCGTCATATTGCTTCAGTCTCTGCAACAGGACCGGCGTGTGCAGCAAATACGGATCAAAGAAATGTTAGAAGCCCTTTTGGAAAGTTCAAAGTTTTCCATTTTTTATGTTTCAGGCTCATCTTAAGATTAATTTTCCCTCCTCGTCAATCCTTTTATGATTTATAAGTGCACTCTGTTGTCCCCTAACCAACCAGCCAATGTAAGAACCTGCTAACTGTTCCCACCTCACACTTAAAAGACTGAAGGCGGCTGAGCGTTAGCTGTTAGAGCTCCTCTGTTATGTAACAAACTGCTGCCATTTCCTTTTAGACCTCTTTTAAAGATTTAAATATATCGGCAAGCTTTCTTATAACTTTTTACTTTTCTTTTAAACCTTTAAGGCTTTTTTTATTTTATTGTTAACTACTGAGTTGCACTGTATTTTCATTCTTGATGCTGCACTTTCATGACTCTGTTTTATATTAATACACCAACTGTTCAATCATTTGGAGCTTACATTTATGCTTTTCTAATCTTCTTTAATTTTTTCCCCCCGTTTGTATGACTGTATTTTGACACATTCTTCATTATTACATGTTTCTTCTGAAATATTTTGTATTGATGAATGTTGCAAAAACATTTCATTAATAAACTTCACAACTTTATTTTTAATAATTATGGAAAGTGCACCACTAGTGGTATAAAATAACTGATATAACTGTGTGTATATATGTGACAGGAAATGGGGAAAAAGCACAACGGGTTTCCTTTGGAAATGGAAGGAAGTTTCACAAATGTGACTATTTTACCAACTTTTAACAGAAATTCAATAACGTCAGTAAGAGAAAGCTGTGATTAGCATATTTCTTAGTGTTGTCGTGTCTCACCTCTGGAGGTATGGGGTCGAGGCCGGCACAGTTTTCGTTGCATTTATCGTAGACGAGGCGCAGCTTGCGGAAGAGCACAGAAAGCGTTCGTAGATGCTCCTGGAGTTTCCCCAGCCTGTCCTGGTGGGTGTTGGGGTGGTAAGTGACTCCATTAGGCAGCTAAGAAGAACCAACGGGGAAACTCTGTGTTAAATAAAGTACTAGAATTTTCTTAGTGCTAATAAAAAAGCTAAACTTATTGATCCTCACTGACTGCCAAAGCATCACGAAGCCTCTGTTGTTCCCCAGCTGATAAGAAAGCATTAGGAAATCCTCTGATAAAAAAGTGATAGTGTTCTTTCTACTTAAGAACGGGAGCCATCAGTCTGAAAAGACGCTTTAAAATGTGTTTAACACGTTTGTGATCCTGCAACAATATGGCACGTGGTTTTAATAATCACAATTTAAAGCACCAAACATAAACTGCGCAGCATCAAAAGATAAACAGCTTCAGCTCAAGCACTTTGAATGGTTTCTTTTTTCCCCACTCACTCCCATACTGAGGCTGCAAAACTGGCTTTCAACAACAATGGGTGTTAAAGAGCAGCATGACATGTTTTTTATTGAGAGGATCGACAAGCCTCTGGAGCAGCACTGTCTGATTATAAACATCCTGCATAGCATGAAACAAGCCTGCCTTGAGGGCAAGCAAAGAGAGAAGCAGAAGGGAGACAGACAGAGAGAGACGGAAGGAGTGGAGGGAGGAGAAGACACATGAGGAATTTTTACAAGTATAAAGGCGGCCTGTGATCTAAAAAAACAAATCACAACAATGCTGTTTGTGCATTCTGCGGCTGAGGTCGCGCTCGCTCGGCCCATCTTGCTGGCTGTGATCTTAACAAGGTGCGGGAGCGGCGTCTCGGAGGAGCAGGCAGACATCCACGATAAACTCATTCCAGTTGCATCTTTAAGATGAGGTCAAAGCTGAACTACATGTGAACTGCAGACCAAGCTAATGCACAAATAAATGATCTCAAGGAATAATAACAAGCATCCGCTGGCACTTAAATGCAGTAAAGACTGATGCACTGTTTGGAAATAAAAGAAAACATTTGGAAGGAAAGTGCACTAACACATCTGACATAAAAGCAATACGTTCAGCTCAATGATATATGTAGGATGACTTCATGAGTCTTATCTACGAGCGCTCCTTCTTTGTTATGACAACATAAACAAAGCCCTGCAAACACAGGAGGAAACCACACAAAGGCAACATCCTTGCTTAGCCAGTGTTGGATTTATCGCAATCACTTTGACAATGGTTGTCATATCACATTGCTGCATGGAAAAATGCACTTAAATTTTTTTTAAGTGATATTAATTTAACTTCAGTTTTATGCTGTGGTTCCTGTCCCCAGATTTAAGAGGCACTGCCTTATGCTAATATGTATTTTCCCTGCCTTAATGATTGAAGGCATAAAAAAGGGTCTGTACTTTTCCTGCTCCTAGTTGTCAAAATGTAATTTGTGAAAAAGGCATATTTGGAGCCTAGACACTGATTAAAAGCTTCCTTACATCTTTGTACTTTCTGCCAAATTCTTTCAGAATACAATCTACATGCCACATTATTTTAATGAACCTTAAACTGCCTCTGCAGGCTTCTCAAATCAAGTGATTTTGGCCTTTTAACTGCACTGCGCTTCTTGCTGGCTGCGGTCGTCTCCCATTTACCATCAAGACTGCAGGCATCCTGTTGTTTTTAAATCCTGCATCAAAATGTGTTGATAAAGAACTGCCATCCTGACTGGCATTTGCTTTGTTATTAGAATAATAGTCATCATGTTATGTTAGTATCTCTTTTTTTCCCCCCTTACATCTTTTGGCTGGTCTGTTTTCATGACAGCGTGTCCAAACCTTTAATTTTACTCATCTTGTGTCATACTTAAGAGTCTCACATTGGTTCTAGAGCTACAAACGTGACCATACCTGCATGTTTCTGAGGAGCTGGAAGATCTCCATGGTCCTGAGGACGATGTCTTGGACCGTCTCCTGACCGATGCGACACAGCGAGGCCGTGTTGACGTCCCGTGCTGCCTGAGCCTGCTGCTGCTGTTGCTGCTGCTGAGGTGGCGGCTGCCCGCCAAAAGGTGACACGAGAGGAGGGGTCGTCATGGACACTGCAGGTGACGATGCTGCTGGAGAGGATGGATTGGAGGGAGGTTCACGTGTTTCCCTGTCAGGTTATTCCACACCAGGAGACATTTACATGCCTTTAGGGAGCAATTTAAAGAGGATAAAGAGAAGGAAATTTAGAGAAGTTAAAGGAAGTCTTGGTCATTGCGCTTGCTTTGTGAATACTCAACAGCATAGAGTTTAGCAATATCAGCTTAGCTTTTAGCTAGGCTAAAGTTTGATAAAAACATATTTTCAGCTATATAAAAACTCCACAAGTGCTAAAAAGTAACAAAAACAACGCGTTAGTCTCTGTGCTAACGCCATAGCCTTTAAAATAAGTTATCTACGCGGATTTGAATCTATTTAAACGATAACTCACATCAGTACAAGTCTCTCAAATGCCACCCCGAGCTTTGAAAGACACACCCAGATACATGAAATAGAGTAACGGGTTAATCATCGCTCATGTAAAAGTACAGTGATTGTCACAAAAGCTAAGTGGACAGTCACACCATACGACACTCTCGCTTTCTCTACGTTTATTTTTTGTGGGTTTTTTTATATATATATATATAATTTTTCTACCACATCAACTCACAGAGAGTATTCATGTTTGCTCACCGGCACAATTACAACATGTTAGGTTACCTGTGTGGTGATAATTTATCTCTTTTGTTGACATGTCAAATCCCTCTGCTTCAGGGATCTCAGCTGCTGCTGCAACTATCGCGAGAAGTCTTAAGTTGACGCCGTTATTTTGGGTTGTAAACAATGTAATAGAAGCGAAACGTGAAAATGTGTGTGTGTGTGTGTGTGTGTGTGTGTGTGTGTGTGTGTGTGTGTGTGTGTGTGTGTATATATATTTATTTATTTTTTAATTTGGTATAACTTTAACGAGAATAAGATGTTATAACGGACATGTACTAATATCAAATATGCCTTTGGTCAACTACTGCTTCCCTCTGAATGCTTCTAAGGCATGAAAACATTACGGTAAAGCAACGCGCACACCAAAATGTGCTCGGGCTACTTGGGGTAAGAGCGACACATACTGGCTCATTTTTTTTATAACAGCATCACTACCACACATCTGAGTTCATCAGCCCCCAGGCCAATTTACGCCACATGATTGCTTCTCATGGGTCATTCTCTTTCCCTTACTCTGTGTTAAATTAAATCCCTCAGTGCATCTACCCATCCATTATTTATAGTCTACTGTACAGTTGTGCTTGGATTGTTTTTTGAGCCATCATAATTATAATTAATTTGAAATACAAGAGGTGTCACGAACAGACAGCAAGCTGTCCAAGGTTGCTTCCTCAGCATGTGCTGCAGAATTACTGCCCTACTAGTGACTTACAGACACTAGAAATAAGAGTTTTATTTATTTCTTTTTTAAAAAGAAGGGGGGGGAAAAAGGAAAGGTTTTACCTTTAGGCTTGAATGAGGCTGAAAAAAGTAGATTAGGATGCTATTACTTAATATACACCATTCACTGAAATTTAGGGCCATGGGCTGGATTTCAATTTTCTTTTATCAGTAACACACTTTATGTAATGGTAACCCAGAGTCTTTTTTCCCACTCTTTTTAGCAGCAACATGCACTACTGATGCGAAAAACACTGAGTTCACTTGACTGCCCACAACTTCTTAATTGCAGACAGAGTGCTGGTTAGCTTGCCAGGATGAATGAGTGTTACTCTCACAATTCCCATCTGCTGTAGCGCCAGACTAACTGAGGCATGCCTTTTGGAAATAAGTTCCTCCATAATCATCCAGCATGTCTTGGTGAGCTTAATTGGAAAGAGGAAGCAGCGATGGTGAGTGGGTGGAGGCAGGTAGCGAGATGAATACGTTTTCCCATATTGCTATGTTGCTGATTAACGATGCAACTTTAGGAGAAGGATGGAAAATATAAAAGTTTGAGTGAGTGTGCAAAACCCTTGAGTCGGCCCTTACTTCTTTATATTTTGCTTCAGAGGAGACAGATTTTTTGTTTGCTTGTTTTGTTTGTCTTAAAAATACGTCATTTGTTCTTATTTCTTCAGTTGAATCAACAAAAATTCAAAAAGAAGAAGTGGCAGAACCCAGATCTCAACATTATTGAAGCAGTGTGAGAGCATCCCACCACAGAACAGAACAAAAGGCAGCCGACATCCAAATATGAGCTTTAAAAATCCTTCAAAAAGCCTGAAGACTGCTTAAAGAAATGACAAGAAAGCTTGCCTAATAGAGTTCAGGCTGTATTGAAGAATATAGATGGTCACGCCAAATATTGAACTTCAACCTTTCCATGTATGTTTGACTGTGACTGCTGCAGCTCCTTCCCACTTTCCTGGCAAAATACAAAAAATAAGGGTGCCTTGAGACTTTTGCACAGTATTGTATAACGTAAATGTGTCCCAAATCCTAAAGAAGACAGCTGTCTCCAGGCCCTGATCAACCAAGAGCTCATCTGTCCTCACTGTTCAAAGTGAATAGAGAAACAGCAGAATGTATTGATCACATCAAAACGAGCTGATGAAAAACGTATTGATTCCAAAGGGCCCACTCTTGTTGATGTAATCAAACCTCATTGCAACAAAATAAAAATATAAAAGACCTTCATTCATCATAAGGCATGGCTCTCAGAAATCTTAACAACTTCGTATTTGCTCAACTGTGTGTTTGTTTGAACAGTTCCAACCGTCACTGATGAGCAGCAGGACGAAAACTCACGGAAAACACAACTGAGACTGATTATATGCAACAGCACACAATCAAGCAGCACAGATTACCATGAAAGTGACGACAGGCTTGCAGTACCGCATCATGTAGTCAGTTCTGCAGGAGCCTGATGAGAATGCACGACAGAAAGATGGAGACAGATAGAGTGGAGAGGAAGGCCAACAGGCGACCTGATCACCCCTTATAGGGAAATAGAAACAGTGTAATAATTATGAGCGGAGGGGGTATCGTAACTAAAATGGATTATCTATCCACCTAGTGCATTACCTATGCTTTAATTAAATGCACACTGATCTGATCCCTGCAGGGCTAAGTTCAGATGGAGAGCAGGGAGTACAATGGCTTGCTCTGAAAGCAGCAGCATGTAAAGTCCACTCAGCTGTTCTCAGAAAATTCACTTACAAAGAATGAGATCAGCACACCCGGCGCTACAAGAGCAGAGAGGCAGGACAGTTTATGGGTGTGAGTGAGGTTGCCAAAGCAGGCAGGCATGTTAGAAGCACTCCACTCAGCAGCTATAGTCTTATTACCTGACATTTCAATGTCATTTCATTAGGTATTACAATACCTGTGGCTAAGGAGGCAGAGTAGGTTATGTGTCAATGACATGGTTGGTGACTCTTTCAGAAACACTCTGAATCCCAAACTGCTACCATGAGGCTGATTGAGACACATCACAAAGAGCCTTGAGTAAACACAATCTAAAGGGGTACTCTCGTTTCCATCTAAATATATATTTTTTGGATTCTGCCATAATAGTTTTGATGATTTAGAGTTCAAAATAATAATCCTTTAATCAATCATTGTTAGGCCACCCTCCCTTTAAGGCTGTTTTCATTTGATTGGCTGCCTCTTGGAAGCAAAATATTTAAACAGTGATAGTGCTAACAGTAAGCAGGTTTTACTGCCAGAGCTATGTGCCTGAAATGAGCTGATCTGGAGTATCTCATCTCAGTGGCATCATACAGAGCCAAGACCAGAAAATAAAAAAGCAACGTAAGGAGAAGAGAGGACCCAAATGCAGTACACTGAGGCGTAAGACATTAGAAAAAATGATCACTTGATTGAGCTGCAAACGTCCTAAAATGACTAAAAAGACCCAGGAGCCTTGGAGCATAGGGGAAGATAGAAACACAAACTATCATGGACCTGGGGTTTTGTGGCTGTTGTCTAAGGGGTTTCTATTAATATGTAGGTCCTGGGATGAGTTTCATTGTTCTTAGTTGTGCTTCCTTTCTAGGCGAGTGTAGACTCCTGTGCTCATTACGTTTTGAGTTTTGAATGATGTTTTTTCGGGTAGATATTTCCGGTATAATTTCCTTAATTGTTTTCTCAGTTTACTCTTTACGTTTCTTAGTTTTGGTACCTTTTTTTAAAGTAAGACTGTTGCGGTTAGAGATGTAGTTTATTTTCCGTTTTTACTGGTACCCCCATGTTCCCTTGTATCTTGTCTTTGTGGTACTTGTTTCTATGTCATGCTGGTTCCTGTGCTGTTTTGATAGTCTTTTGTGCTTTATAGTTAGTTTTACCTCTCTTGTCCCATTGCCTTTGATTAGTTTCAGCTCTTCATTTTTCACATGTTTCCACTACGATTTGTCCACGTAGTATCTGTGTGTATACACCCCAGGTCTCCCTTGTCTTTTCAGTGTCTTTTAACCTACTCTTGTTTTTATCTGCAAGTGAGTGTGTTTTGTGTCTTGGGATTCGGTCTTGGCACTCCTCCTAGTTTGTGTGTCTGTGAGTCCTGCAGTCCTAGAGGAATTTCCTGCTCTGTTTCACAAGCTGCAAACAGATAAAAACAAAAGGGAGGGTATACACTTACGAGCCACCTTATGAGGTGCATTTGCTCAACTCCTTGTTAATGCAAATGTCTAATCGGCCAGTCGCATGGCAGCAACTCAATACATCAATACTTAGACATGCAGACATGATGAAGATGATCTCCTGAAGTTCAAACTGAGCATCAGAAATGAAAGGAAAGGTGATTTAGGTGATTTTGAATGTGGCATGGTTGTTGGCGGCAGATGGGTTGGTCTGAAACTGCTGATCTGATGGGATTTTTCCATAACCATCTCTAGGGAAAAAATATCCAGTGAGCAGCATTTCTTGATGTCAGAGGAAAATGGCCAGACTGCTTCAGGCTGATAGGAAGGTAACAGTAACTCAAATAACCACTTGTTACAAACATGAGAATGCAGTCCACTAAACCATTACATCAGTGTTCCCATTCAGAGATTTTAATTTGTTTAGGTTCTATTTCAGGCTGCAATTTATCACCTCTGTTATTATTTTTCTGATTTGCATGTTTAGTCACCATTTAAGACTCAAGAGTTTAAAAAGCACAATAAAGTAAAAAACAAAAAAAACCCAACCTAAAAGTCTGAACCCTGAGCTGCTTTTTTCTTCCTCTTCGACTGTATAATGATCATTTAGTTTGATCTAAAAAGAAAGTAACAACCTTGATGAGAACACCTCAGAGGCCTACTGAGCTGTCCTTCTAAAAATAATGGACAGGTGGTGTCATCCGTGTCCGAGTGGGGGCTGTAGTTTTTGCTTAAGCATGACTGGACTTGAAATGTGCTCGTTTATGTGTCTTTGGTTGTGGAAAACGTGAAAACAGATTTACAAAACTTGAATCAAGCGGTGAGCAAGTAGCTAGTCAACCAAAAAAAAAAAAAAAAAAGGAGTTTTATCTTATTAGCATGTTTATTAATGCTTTATTTAATACAATAAATAATATGTCCATTAAAAATATAAAATGAATGATTTAGCTGGCACCAGCCAGCCACACGTCAGTTGTTATTAATGATTACCTTGTCCACGCCACTGAAGCTCAGGACACCTGCAGCTCACACTGCAGGACACAGGTGGATAGACGAAGGTCAAACTCACAAAAGCCATTAATATCTGATTGTCTGCAGCATGCCAGAGGCTGGTGGTACAACGAAACAGCCCCCGAGGTTTACTGAAAACTGCAAATTGGCTCAAGGTCAAAAAGGTGGG